GGAAGGAAGGAAGGAGGGAAGGAAGGAAGGAAGGAAGGAAGGAAGGAAGGAAGGAAGGAAGGAAGGAAGGGGGGAGAGAGGGAGGGAGGGAGGAAGGAAGGAAGGAAGGAAAACAGCTTTTCCCACAGCCTTGAAATGTGAATGTCTTTCTAGAAAAATATAATCTGGCAAGCATTTAACAACCACAATTTTAAAGCTTATCTCGGATATGCAAAGTGAGTCTGTGGATAAAGGAGGGAGAGAAAGTTGATTTGCTGCAAGGAAGAAATAATGAAATGAAGTGAGAGGAAAAGAGGGAGAAAGGTCAGACAACATGGAAAGAGGCTAAAGTTTGAGCTGGGGAAATTGAGGGACTATGGACAATGGTGACCAGTATTCACTTTTTGTCTGCCTTTTTACACTTTTCAACAGTTTTACTGAGACATAAGTAAACTTCCCATATTTAAAATTTACAATTTGGTAAGTTTTGACATATAGACACCCATGAAACCATCACGACAATTAAGGTAGAGAACTATTCATTTCTTTTTAATTTCTCCCTTCCACCCTTCCTTGCATCTCTACACAAACACTGCTCTTCTTTCCATCACTATTAATTTGTATTTTACAAAATCTTATATAAATGGGCTCATCTAGTTTGTTCTCTTTTTTGTCTGGCTTTTTTCACTCAGCATAATTATTTCAACCTTTGTCCACATTGTACTTGTAACTATATGTGATCCTTTTTTAATTAAATTGATATGCCCCAATCTATTCATTCACCTCCTGATGGACATTTGGGTCATCTCCAGCACTGACCACTGTAAATTGAGTTGTAGGTGCATTTGTGTATAAACCTTTAGATACACATATGCCTTCATTTTCTCCTGGAGTGAATACCTAGAAGTAGAGTGGCTAGATGATATAGTAGTATGTTTAACTTTTTAAGAAACTACCAACTTGTTTTCCATATTATTTGTGCTACTTTAAATTCCCACCAGTAGTGTATGAGAATTATGTTTGCCTACATCCTTGCTAGTACTTGATGTAGTCGGTCTTTTTAAATTTAGACATGCTAATAGGTGTGTGTATCATTTTGGTTTTAATTTGCATTTTCCTTGTGACAAATAATCTTGAGCACCTTTTCATGTGCTTATTTTCCACCTGTTTAAGTCTTTTGCCCAATTTTTTATTGGGTTGTTTGTTGTTACTGAATTTTGAAAGATATTTGTGCATAATTTGGATACAAATCCTTTATCAGAGAAGTAATTTGCAAATATATTCCCCTAGTTTGTAGCTTATCTTAATAAATGGTTAGATTTGATTTGTAATGACTTTGTCAATAATTTTCACATCTATGTTTATGAGGGATGTTGATTTAAAATTTTCTTTCATAATGTCTTTGGTTTGTATTAGAATGATACTGGCCTCATAGAATGGGGTGGGACATATTTTCTTCTCTTCAATTCTCTGAAGAATTTATTACTTCTTCCTTAAATGTTTCATGGAATTCACCAGTGAAATCATTTGGGGCTGAATTTGTGTGTGGGGGGTGTGTGTATATATGTGTGTGTGTGTGTGTGTGTACAAAGGTTTTTAAGTACAAATTCAATTCTTTAATGGACATTCAAGTTAGTTATTTGTGAGTTTGGGTAGTTGGTAATTTTCAAAGAATCTGTCCATTTCATTCAAATTGTTGAATTTCTGGGATAAGGTCATTAATAATTTTCTTTTTTTAAATCCTTTATTGTCTGCAGAAGTTGTACTGATTTTACCTCTTTTATTCCTGATATTGAATATTGGATATTGATTTTTTTCTGATTAGTCTGATTATCAACTTATTGATCTTTCATTGGACCTTGGCATCTTTATCCAACAACATGACTGAGCCCTAACCGAAGTCCATCTGCTGATAGACTTCCCTGCTGCTAATTTCCTATCTTCTTGCACTTATGAATGTCACCTCTCTTTTGCTCCCAAGCATCTTGTCTTTCCTGCTTTTCAGGAAGCTGATGATTTCTTCCTGGATTTTTAGTCAACCATTCCTTGCTCAGGTAAGGGAAGGAAAGGCAAGGCTGCAGGAAATTTTTTTTTAAAGATTTATTTATTATTTATTTGAGAGACAGAGCGAGAGAGCACGAGTGGGGGGAGGGGCAAAGAGAGAGGGACAGAATCCTCAAGCAGACTCCCCGCCGAGTGTGGAGCCTGACGTGGGACTCAATCCCAGGACCCTGAGATCATGAACCGAGCTGAAATCAAGAGTTGGATGCTCAACTGACTGAGCCACACAGGTGCCCTAAGGAGGCAGGAAATTTTGATGTGCGGAGAACAGAACAAGTATTTCAGTTGCAAAGGACTGTAGAGTTTATGAAGGGCAGTATGAAGAACTAAGGCTGTTAGGTAGGTTAGAGTCAATTTCTGGAAAGCTTGAATGTCAGGCTAAAAACACTGGGCAATAAGCAACATGGAGCCGTTGAAAGCTTCTGAGTAAGAGTGTATGGTCAGAGTTTTAGTCCAGGAAGATGAACTGGGCAGGTGTGTGGCAGAAAAAAGAGACACCAGTTGGCTATTATCATAATATAGCCTAGAGAAAAAAGAGTTGTAACCTCAGGCAAGGGCAGTGGAAATGAGAGGTTTGTGTTCAAGGGATGTAGAGGGATAGACAGGTTTTCAATGTTTCAAGAAGCACTCCAAAATACTAAAGTAAAGGCCTGATGACATACATCTGTCAGTCATAAACAGTATATCCACAACCCAGGTTTAAAAGACCAGCCTTTCATATGATAACAGAATGAAAACTACTAACATGTTATGGATGAACGGAACTGTTTCAACTCATTGGAATTTGGAGAGTTCCTTTTCTTTTTTTAAATCCTTTATTGTCTGCAGAAGTTGTACTGATTTTACCTCTTTTATTCCTGATATTGAATACTGGATATTGATTTTTTTCTGATTAGTCTGATTATCAACTTATTGATCTTTCATTGGACCTTGGCATCTTTATCCAACAACATGACTGAGCCCTAACCGAAGCCCTTACATTGCTTAGTAAGTCACCGAAGCACATCAACAATATCAGGACAGGTGATGAAGCAGCATTTTCCAAGCTAATTATACTTCATACATAT